AGGAGGAGGAGGAGGAGGAGGAGGAGGAGGAGGAGGAGGAGGAGGAGAAGAAGAAGAAGAAGAAGAAGAAGAAGAAGAAGAAGAAGAAGAAGAAGAAGAAGAAGAAGAAGAAGAAGAAGAAGAAGAAGAAGAAGAAGAAGAAGAAGAAGAAGAAGAAAGAAGATGAAGATGACGACAATAACGGTAGCTGGTCAGATATGATGAAGTTGTTCCAATGACTGGTAGTTTGAGACATCTAAGTTCTCTAGACCAGGGGTCTCTCCAACCTTGGCAACTTTAAACCTGGGGGACTTCAACTCCCAGAATTCTTGGGCTTGAAGTCCTCCAGGATTAAAGTTGCCAAGGTTGGAGACCCCTGGTCTAACCTGGAGGAAAGTAACCAAGTGTCCCTCCTCCCCCTTCCCCAGTTGCCTTAGACCAGAGCTGGCTTGGCTGGGGAGTTGAAGTCCCCATAACTTAAAAGTTGTCATGGGTGAGAGAAGGTTCTGCCTTAGGTTGTGGGTACAAGACATGGCCACAGGCTCTTTCTAAGCTAGGAGATCTTGCCTCAATGCTGGCCTTTCTCAAGCTTTCCATGAGTATTAGGACTAGAAGGTCAAGGAAGGTGCCTAAGCCAGCTAAGAATGTTAGATGTTGGAGAACATCTCCAAGTCACCTATGAATGGCTCAATTCATAGCATTTGCACTAATCGTGGCTACGTCCTTCTCTCCTACGTGGAGAAGGATATGGTTTTCATGGTTATCATTAGGGTTAATTAAGCCAATGATATTTAAAAGAAGGCCCTGGGGAAACTAGGTTGGGTTAGCACAATAACATCTGCAATGATTTGTGTTGGGAGGCATTGCGACAATTTGCCATCTGGCACCTTTGACAATGCCTGAAAAAAAGACCAAAAAGCTACCATACTTATTTCTGGGGGGTGGAAAAAGTAGGATCAGGAATAAAAAACAACAACAGCTGATATGATCAAGGTTTCGATCTGGGCGTTTCCCAACTGGATAATTTTCTGGAACCCCCATTTTTCAATCTTGGGTGGCTTGGTGAACTTCAACTCCCAGAATTGCCCAGGACTGGGGACAAATATTCAAGCTGCCAAGATTTAATAAATGCTAGGTAGGTCTACAATTTCAAGGCCCAGAGTTTCTTAAGTATTATGCAAAGGTGGTGGCCAGTAAGAGATTCTGGAACTTGAAGAAAAAAAAAATATTTCTGGAAATTAAAACACATTGGGAGAAGGCGCCAAATCAGGCAAAATGGGGAGATAACTTGGGTTAAATTATCCCCCACAATTTTGGAGAGAGAATTCAAGCCCATTTGTTGCTGCTCGATTGAGCACCTCAAATTGTCCTTCGGGATCTGATTTGTCTTACAAGCTAGATGGTGTATTTGTCTTTGGCAACTTTTACAGGGCCTTTCCAAAGTGTTACTCCCCCTAAATTCAAAGAACGAGGACTTCCATCATTCCCCAGCCAACATGGGTTGGTTAAGACTGGCCTGGATCTAATTCGGTGCTTTCTTCTACCAAGAATGGTCTTGGCGCTGTTGGACAGGGGTACGCCATAGAGTCCCAACATGTATGGCCAATAAAACATAACTCG